ATTGAATGAGGAATAGTTTGCAATTTCGAATATTTTCATATCCTCCCTCTCTCGAAAGAGGGTGAAAGTCTAGACGTACATTTTATGACGGTGCATTAGAATTGCCAAGCTGGATCAGACCAATGGTCCATTTAGCCCAATCCCTGTCTTCTGACAGTGGTCAATGCCTCAGTGGGAGTGAACAGAACAGGGAATCCCTCCCCTGTCATCCATTTCCAGACAAACAGAGGCTAGGAACACCTTTTCTACCCTTCCTGGCTAATAAACATTGATGGACTGATCCTCCATGAATCCATCTAGCTTTTTTTAAAAATCCTCTTCTCAACATCCCCTGGCAAGGAGTTCCACAAGTTGAGTGGGCACTGTATGAAGAAAAACCTATTTTGTTTGTTTTAAACCTCCTGCCTATTCATTATATTTGGTGACACCCCTAGTTCTTATGTTAAAGGAACAGGTAAATAACTTTTCCTTATTTATTTTTCCACACCAGTCATGATTTTATAGACCTCTATCAGATGCCCCTTAGGCTCCTCTTTGCTAAGATGAAAAATCCCACTCTTTTTAATCTCTCTGCATATGGCAGCTATTCCAACCCCATCATCATTTTTGGTGACCTTTTTAGAACCTTAGGGTGTGTCTAGATTACATGCCTCTGCCAACTGAGGCATGTAGAAAATAGGCTACCCGACATAGTCAGTGAAGTGGGGATTTAAATATCCCCAGCATCATTACAATAAAAATGGCCGCCGTGCTGTGATCATCGGCACAGTGGGGCAATCTACACACGGAGCGGTCAACAAGGGAACCCTTTGTCGACCGCTACGTTATGCCCGGCTAGCTCCCCACTTAATCTGGCCCTGGCCAGACGGCTACCCCCCTTTTTTCTGAGCTGTGATTTTGTCCTCTTCAGCCACACACCAATGAAATATTTTTAAAACCATTGTAAGGGAAGTTCCTGCCGACTAACACTGTAAATTCAGAAAGGGACAGGATGTCCTTGGGGCTGTCCAATGCCTGCAAAATGACTTTGTGGCCACTTGTGCGGCTCTTTCCCAGGGTCTGCTAATAGGCCTGGCACAGGCTTTGTCACTGACGTGAACTAGATCCTCACCAGCGGAAGAAGAGCTACAGACCAGGGATAGGAAGAGGCAGATGCATTGGAGAGGTTCGGGTGGATGGCTACACAAATGACGAAGGGGCTGGAGCACATGACCTACAAGGACATGCTTAGGGATTTAGGCTTATTTAGTCTGCAGAAGATTGAGGGGGGATTTGAGAGCAGCCTTCAGCTACCTGACCGGGGTGGGAGGCTGGAGAGAGGCTGTTCTGAGTGGTGCCGGATGACAGAATAAGGAGCAATGGTCTCTTGTTACAGTGGAAGAGGTCTAGGTTGGAGATTAGGAAAAGTATTTCCCTAGGCAGGCGGAGAAGCACTGGGCTGGGTTCCCTAGGGAGGGGATGGAATCTCCATCCCTAGAGGTGTTTAAGTCCCGGCTTGACCAAGCCCTGCCTGGGATGATTGAGTTGGGGTTGGTCCTGCCTTGGGCAGGGGTAGGACTCGATGACTCCCGAGGTCTCTGACAGCCCTGGGATTCTATGCACTTTCCTGGAGGTTGTTTGATTCTCTTTCCTCTGCTGTTGATTAGTCTAAAAATAAAACCCACTGTTCTACACACTCTCTTCTAGCTAATTGAAAATGCTCGTTAGCAGAGGTGCCACAGGAAAATTCCTTCCTTGCATGTTGGATACATAATGAACCCAGAGAGAGATTCATCCTCCGCTAAGCGAGAGAAGGCGACGTGCACCCAGAATGTCAGTGACCCAGAGTGTCAACAAGGAACAGGCAGGTCTCGTTACGGAGACTCTTGGAAGCCCATGAAGTAGGTGGGAATAGAAGATTGCAGGCCCTGAATCTTTGGCTTTGTATCAATGGATGGAGCCATCACAACTGAGATGTGGACTTATTTTGCATGGTGAGAAGGTAAACCTGCTTTCCCACTCTTGTAGCTCATCATAAAATTATGCCAGATAGAAAAATATTTTTGACCACATCTCCCTACCTGCTCTGTAGCCCAATGTAAGCCGTAGGGTTGTGTAAAGATTGAATTCGTTTGGTCATGTTTTACCTCTTATGTATGTAAGTCCTGTTGAAATCAACAGGACATAGACAAATGAAAAAAAAATGTGTCATGCGTCTTGTGAAGACAAACTATGCCAACAAGTCAGTGTTCTCCCATCAGCATAATTACTCCACGTAAATGAGAGGCGGAAGTTATGTTAGTGGGACACCAAATTCCAGGGTGGCGAGCATGGTGTAGACACCTCTCTAAGCTGATGTAACTCGCATTGCTAGGGAATTTTTTTTCTCAACTCTCAGCAACGTGAATTGATTAAGTTTAAGTGGTAACAGACAAACTGCAGGGTTAACCATTGTGCGGGAAAAGGTTCATTACGTTTTCAATATATCCTTCTCAAAGGCAAGGTTTCTATAGTAAGGACTGTTAATATTTTATCATGATTTATTCATAATAAGCCAACTGGGAAATATCACATAGTGTTTGACAGGAAATTTCAATTCCTTCCCCTACATTTTTTCCTAAATTTCCTATAGCATGTTTTTGGAAACCAGTTTTAGTTAGAAATAATCAGGTTTTGGTATATCTGGTTTCCAAAACATAATTTTTTCACTGAAAACTGACCTGAGAAATTGCATTTTACTGACAAGAGAAATAATTAGCCCGGCCAAATTTTTTTTCCAGCAAAACGATTTTTAACAAAAATGAACATTTTCCATTGCAAGAGTTCCTTTAAAAAAATTATTATGTAAATGGTTTAGTATATAAAAATAGTGATCAATAAAGGAATAGACTTTGTGAAGATTCTTTATATGGAACATTTATTATTAATTATTATTATTATTATTATTAACACAAACCCAGATAATTGTAATGCAGTTGAAGCTGGATATTTGTCTTCTAGATCTTCTAGTGGTGACTAGAAGCCTCAGCTGTGATGAACATGTTATATCTCCACTTGGCAGGAGATATCCTACTGTCTAGCCCCTGAATTTCACACATTTCTGTGCTCTACTTCATATCAGGGATGTGAGCAATTAGACTATGCAGCCATGAACACCAGCATTCATGGTATCCCCTATAATAGCTCATAAATCCATAAGAAAAGCCACTCTGGGCCAGAACAATGGTCCATATACCTCAGTTTTTTGTCTTTCGCCAGTGACCAGACCCAGAGCTTCAGAGAGCTGGAGCACATGACCTACGAGGAGAGGCTGAGGGATTTGGGCTTGTGTAGTCTGCAGAAAAGAAGAGTGAGGGGGGATTTGAGAGCAGCCTTCAACTACCTCAAAGGGGGTTCCAAAGACAATGGAGAGAGGCTGTTCTCAGTAGTGACGGATGCAGAACAAGGAGCAATAGTCTCACATTGCAGTGAGGGAGGTCTAGGTTGGAGATTAAGAAACACCGTTTCCCTAGGAGGTTGGAGAAGCACTGGGACGGGTTCCCTAGGGATGTGGTGGAATCTCCCTCCCTAGAAGTTTTGAAATCCCGGGTTGACACAGCTCTGGCTGGGTTGATTGAGTTTGGTCTGGTCCTGCTTTGGGCAGGGGGCTGGGTTTGGTGACTCCTGAGGTCTCTGCCAGCCCTGGGGTTCTGTGATTATAACAGGAGCATAAGAACATAAGAACATAAGAACGGCCGTACTGGGTCAGACCAAAGGTCCATCTAGCCCAGTGTCCTGTCTGCCGACAGTGGCCAGCACCAGGTGCCCCAGAGAGGGTGGACCGAAGACAATGATCAAGCGATTTGTCTCCTGCCATCCCTCTCCTGCCTCTGACAAACAGAGGCCAGGGACACCATTTCTATCATTCTTAGGGAGTGAACAAAAAAAATGTCTTGGTTACATAATGAAACCAGAGAGAGATTCATCCTTTGCTAGGCGAGAGAAGACAATGCTCACCCAGGATGTCAGTGATGCAGAGCCTCCAGCGAGGAGCAGGTGGGTCTCATTACGGGGAGACTGGAAGCCCGTGAAGTCGTGCGGGAAAGGGAAGTGAACAAACCTCCCACTTTCTGGCACTCTGAGGGGTAGAGTCACCCAGAGTGTAGCGCAGAACCCTGAATAATCTTGCCTTACAGACTTCACTTCCTTTTATTCATGGAACCTTCTGGACTCTCCTCACACTAGATAAATTCAAAGCAGAAAGTGTAAATATAACAGAATAATTCTTCATTCAAGCAACTAACCAAGGGTTGTGGTAGAGTCTCCCAACACTGGCCATTCTGAAATCAAGTCTCAATTTCCCTATCTACCCCCCCATGAGATCTAGTTCAAACAGGAGTTATTTTATAACACTCCCATGTTGCACATCAGGTCAGACTAGATGATCATAATGGTCTCTTTGGATAAAGAATCTCAGGAGCTATAAAATCCATCAGGACCACTGGCGCTGACGGGGATGCCCTCTGAGTTCAACTAAACCTGCTAAATTGAATGCTAGAAGATCGGCCTCTGGACAAATCCATCTTCTCCATAGTGTAGACAAGTCCTTAAGGTTTCTTCTACTTTTACAATTCAATGAGTTCATATTAGGTAAACTCAAGATTGGAATCTGTATGAAAATCACATTTCTTCCCCCATTTGTCAGGGAGGGCTACAGGAGAGGATACAAAGATGTCTCTCATTTGTTAAGTTTCGGGATGGATTTTTTAACTTATTTTTAAGAGTGATTATTTTCTAAGGAGTGGAAGAAAGTATGATACACAAACACCATTTAAAGGCAACGGTCGTTGTATGTTTAACAACCTTAGACGCCTTTAAAAATTCCAGCCCATGATTCTAGAAACTTTTGCACGCAAACACAAATCTTCTGACCCTGAATCTGACTTAGAGCCAACTGACATGAATTATTTATGTTTACATGAAAATGTAAGATAATCATGAAATAATATCAGAGTGTCATTTAATTCTCCTAGATACCGTTCATGGCAAAAGCAGAAGCGGGAAATCAAACAGCCATCATGGAATTCCTTCTCCTGGGCTTTGGAAATGGACACAAAATGCAAATTCTCCTCTTCCTGCTGTTCCTGGTGATCTACATGGCAACCATGGCTGGGAACCTCCTCATCGTTGTGCTGGTGGTGACCGATCGGCACCTTCACACCCCCATGTACTTCTTCTTGGGCAACTTGGCCTGCTTGGAGACCTGCTACAGCTCCATCATCCTGCCCCGGCTGCTGGCCGGGCTCCTAACAAGTCGATATGTAGTGTCACTTAATGGCTGTTTCTTGCAATATTATTTCTTTACCTGGCTAGCGGGATCTGAGTGTTGCCTCTTGTCCGTCATGTCTTACGACAGATACGTCGCAATATGCAAGCCACTGCATTACACCACTCTTATGAATGGCAGGTTTTGCCTCCAACTAGCAGCAGGGTCTTGGATTAATGGGATGGTTGCTAGTGCTATAGTAACGTCTTTGATGTCCCGTCTAAGCTTCTGCGGCCCCCATGCAGTTGACCATTTCTTCTGCGATTTCACCCCTGTGACTAAACTCTCCTGCAGTGACACCCGCCCAATTGAACTCGTCACTTTCGCCCTGGCCTCCGTATTCACCCTGCTTCCCTTTCTACTCACCCTCATCTCCTACGTCTGCATCATCCTCACAGTTCTGCGGATCCCGTCCACCACCGGGCGGCAAAAGGTCTTCTCCACCTGCTCCTCCCACCTCCTCGTGGTGACTATTTTCTATGGGGCCCTGATCGTTGTATACTTGTCTCCAAAAACCCACACCCTGAGAGATCTGAACAAAATTTTCTCCATCTTCTACACCGTGCTGACTCCCCTGGTCAACCCCCTCATCTACAGCCTGAGAAACAAACATGTCAAGGAGGCCGTGGGGCACTTCAGGATTAAGTGTGCAGCCTTTGCAAGAGATCGGAGAATTCAAGTGATTTTTTAAGGTAAACTGAAACTGGAAAAGGGCGTAGCTGGAGGAATACGCCAGCTCATGGGATCTCTCTGGCCTGAGAGACACAGAATCCCAGAGCTGGAGGAGACCTCAGGAAATCCTCGAGTCCAACCCCCTGCCCAAAGCAGGGCCAACGATCTGTGATACACACCTCACCTATCATCTGACACGTCAGTGTTGGTTACCTCCCCTTGTACTTCCCTCCTGATATTTCAGACGCAGCATGCCTATTCCCCACCCGTTATTGTGCTTTCGTTTTTTCTGTTTATGTCAAACTAATTGTGTGCTGGCTGGGGTGTCCTTGTCCTGGAATGGATTTACGTCGTCCGTGTGTTTTAGCAGGGCTGTACTAGTGGCCAACTTCATGTCCCAGACACTGACTGGCAAGCAAACATCTGCTTTTGGCAGTAACTCTTGCTCACTTATAGCAGGCTGTGGCTTAAGGCTCATTCTTTCTCCTACAAGCCTTCCAGCTCATAGAATCTCAGGGCTGGCAGAGACCGCAGGAGTCATAGGGTATGTCTACACTACAGCACTAATTCGAACTACTTAATTCGAACTAGGCGTTAGTCCTCGTAGAATGAGGTTTACCTAGTTTGAATTAAGCGCTCCGCTAGTTCGAATTAAGTTCGAACTCGTGGTTTGTATGTGTAGCGCCTATCAAAGTTAATTCGAACTAACGTTTGTTAGTTTGAATTAACTTTGTAGTGTAGACATACCCATAGGGACCAACCCCCTGCCCAAAGCAGGACCAACCCCAACTCAGTCATCCCATCTGGGACTTAAAAAGCTCTAGGGATGGAGATTCCATCATCTTCCTGGGATGGCTATTCCACCACCACCCATTGCAGTGCTTCACCGCCCTTCTAGAGAAAGTGTTTTTCCTAATATCCAACCTAGGCCCCCCCCCCCACTGCAACTTGAGCCCATTGCTCCTTGTTCTGCCATCTGCCCCCAGTGAGAACAGCCTCTCTCCAGCCTCTTAGGAACCTCCCTTCAGGTAGCTGAAGGCTGCTCTCAACTCCCCCCTCACTCTTCTCTTCTGCCGACTATGTTGATACTTACAGGATGCAGTTCCATTGTTGTGTTGATTATTTGGAGATGCTGGGCAGGTGGCCAGGGTGTGACATGAAGCCTGCACAGCTTGCCAGGAGAAATTTCCAGGAACTGTGAGTGAAAATGAATCTTCTCTCCAATGGGTGGGGAGTGGAGACCAGCCAGAAATGCTGGCCAAGCAGTTCTTAGGAACTGGAACTTTCCCATTGTATGAATCAGCAACTCAAAGTGTACAAGCCCCAGAACACATGAACACTTGGCTTCAGAGTTTTGTAGACAGATCCATTCCTCAAAGAGCTTGCAAATGAGGTCTTCATCCTACAAAACACCAATAATCACACCTAGTGCTTGCTATTCCTGAATACTGGTCCTTTCCAAGGTCAGAAAGACAAGCGTATTTTCTCTTGGACTCCCCTTAGGGTAGGCCAGAATCTTGGCTACCAGTTTAGATCAATTGGAAAATAAGATTTAAAAATAAAAAAAAATAAAAGCATTATTTTAGATTGCATCATTGGTATAATTGAACCTAAAACTTATGGTAACCACAGAAGTGGGAGACTTCTAATTTGTATCTCAAATTGCCCCAATAAAACCCAAGCAGGTCTGAGATGAAAGAATGAAGAGTTCATAGAATCACAGAATCATAGAATATTAGAACTGGAAGGGACCTCTAAAGGTCATCGATTCCAGTCCCCTGCCCTCACAACAGGACCAATCACCATCTAGATCATCCCTGAGAGGTGTCTGTCCAACCTGCTCTTGAATATCTCCAGTGATGGAGATTCCACAACATCCCTAAGCAATTTATTCCAGTGTTTAACCACCCGGACAGGACATTTTTCTTAATGTCCAACCTAACCCTCCCTTGCTGTAGTTTAAGCCCATTGCTTCTTGTCCTGTCCTCAGAGGCCAAAGAGAACAATTTTTCTCCCCCCTCCTTGTGACACCCTTTTGGATACCTGAAAACCTCTCTCATGACCCCTCTCAGTCTTCTCTTTTCTAAACCAAACAAGCCCAATTCTTTCAGTCTTTCCTTATAGCTCATATTCTCTAGACCTTTAATCTTATCGGTGCCTCTTCTCTGGACCTTTTCCAGTTTTCCGATATCTTTCTTGCAATGTGGCACCCAGAACTGGACACAATACTCCAACTGAGGCTTAATAAGTGCAGAATAGAGCAGAAGAATGACTTCTTGTGTCTTGCTCACAACACACCTCATGCAGCCCGGAATCATGTTTGCTTTTTTTTTTCTTTTTTTTGCAACGATGTCCCACTGTGGATTCCTATTTAACTTGTTTATGTATTTATATTCATATTTGCATATGTAACATATTTTGTTCTGTTTATAGTCCTCTGGCAGGTGATTGAGAGGCGCTTGACAGCAGGTTTTCCTTGGCTGAGACAGATGATTATTATAGCTACCAAATAAAACCTTCAGTTGCCTAAGTAATGCCAATAATTAGCAGCATGGAGGAGTACAGGTTGAACAGACACAACATTACAACATTCATGGTTCATCTCACTGTTAACATCTCTTTTGGATCCCTTCATTAACGCAATTCAGTGAGGTTGTGTCTAGACTACAGGGTTTTGTTGACAAAACTGTACCTGTGTCTACACTGCCTCTGAGTTTTGTCGACATAATGTCGACAGAACTCGGCAGTTCTGCGGATGGCAGTAAACCTCATTCTATGAAGAATAACGCCTTTTGTCGACAGAGTTCTGTCGACAGAAGGCGTTATTGCATCTACACTGTCCTTTGCATCTACACTTTCATGTCGACAGTGGCTTGCTTTGTCGACAGAACTGGATGTCGTCTAGATGCTCTTTGTCAACAGAAGCTTTGTCGATAGATTCTGTCAACAAAACTTCTGTCGACAAAAGCCTGTAGTTTAGACGTACCCTGAGAGACAGGAACCTTTCTACGTGTCAACCTCTAAGGCGCACAAAACATAATCTTTAACGTTTGAAACTGTGTCAGGTGTATAGTCCCTTCTGGCTCAGCATCCCAAACACGTCTTTGCATTTTATTTTGTTATTTAAAAGCTCCTCTCTGATAAGGATTTTGTATCATTTTCCATTCCCCAGGAACGTGTTTCTTCACAGTTTGCATTCCTGTAAGCAGGGGCTTTCTGACTGGGCACATCCTTTCGATGGAAACATTTGAGTCTCAGAGAGGGTAATTTGTTAAGGATGGAAATTCAGTACCCATGGCAACTTTTCAGGCTTGCATGATTCAGTTTGAAGTCTCTGCACTCGCTGGAGCTGTTAAAAAGCTTGTGGCTTCAAACAGATCTCGCTGCATATGAAACACTCGTAAAAGGACCTTTGTTATGTTACAGCCCCGATGGCCAGTTTCGTTATCGGGGCTTTTTCTCGGAAAACAGTACTGTGCTGTTTTCACTGGCCCTTTTGCGCAAACATCTTTTGGAAAAAGACTTTTGCCTGAACGGGAGCAGCATAGTATTTCCGGAAAAGCACTGATGATTTTACATGAGATCGTCAGTGCTTTTCCAGAAATTCAAGCGGACAGTGTAGACAGCTGGCAAGTTTTTCCGCAAAAGCAGATGATTTTGCGGAAAAACTTGCCAGTCTAGACACAGCCTGTGCGTTTAGCAAAAGCACTAAAGGCAGACAAAAAAAATCAGGGGTGGTTTATTTGAATAACAAGAATGAAGGGTCAGTTTTTATCCACTTCCTTCACATCCTTTTCTGCTAGGAAAAATGAAGGGACATCCTTGTGGGTTAGACGTCACCGGTGTAGTGTCCTAACAAGTATCTTGCTCTGTCCAGTGATGAGAACTGTTCGGCTGGGGACACAGGCTCCCCTGGGCTTTGTGAAGGTTGACAGCACAGCAGAGTCTGAGAGAAGCCCCAAAGACCACAAAATCAGAGAAGGGGAGAAGGCTACTGGCTAGGTTTCTGTAGACAAAGAACAGTAATTACACTTGGTTCGGCTCGGGGGACAAGGGACAGCCCCTCAAAGGGTATGTCTACACTAAGCACTAATTCGAACTAACTTAATTCGAATTAGTTAATTCGAACTAAGCTAATTCGAACTAGTGCATCTAGACCTAAAAACTAGTTCGAACTAGCATGTCCACATTGAGTGGACCCTGAACCGAAGTTAAGGATGGCTGGACGCAGTGCCAGCAGGGCATCAGGTCAGGACTTAGAGCGTGGAGCTGCTGTCTCAGGCTAGCTGAGGGCTGTGCTTAAAGGGACCCGACCCCCACCCCGGACAGACAGTTCTCAGGGTTCCCTGCTTGCTTGTCTACCTCAATGAGGGACAGCAAAGCAGTCCTGGTTTGGAGTGCCCTGAGTGCCCACACTCGGCACATCACAGCACTCGGCCATCAGCCCGACTGCACTTGCCGCAGGCTGCCATCTGGGGGGGGGGCAATCGGGGGGCTGCAGGAGAGCTTCCACCCCGAGGAGCCCGCAGAGCCACCCCAGTCCTGCCCAGCAGGGCCTTGTACCCCATTCCTCCCTCACCTCCTTCCACTTACCCCTCCCTAGCCCCCTTCCGGATGTATAAAATAAAGGACACGTGTGTTCAAAAATAGAAATTCTCTTTATTTAACAATAAAGAGCCGCCAGCCCTGTCCCAGGAAGAGGGGGAGGGCAGGGTGGCAGTGGGTGGCTGGCTCGTGCCGTGCCAGATGCAGAGTCTGCTGGCTGGGTGCTGGCAGGCCTGCACCTGGCACGGGCACCGTAGCCAGCCCGTGCCCCTTTAAGGGCTCCGGGGCTGGGAGGGGGGCAGACGAGTTTCCCTGGTGGTGCCCAGAGTGGCCTCCCACTAGTTCGAATTAAGTGGCTACACAGCCCTTAATTCGAACTAGTTAATTCAAACTAGGCTTAGTCCTCGTGGAATGAGGTTTACCTAGTTCATATGAAGAGCTCTGCTAGTTCGAATTAAATTC